TTCACAAGATGAGCGCGGAAACTCGCGAACGATTTCCTACAACGCGTACTCCCAGTAAAACCACATTGACATTTGGCAAAATCAAATTGTTCTATCGATTTTGCGTCCCTATGCTCAACGGTTCCATTACTTGGCCCAGGAACCGGATCGGTGTGCGATCCGAAAACAGCACTTGGTTTCACTGAGTTCGTATGTGGCAGTTCGGCAGCATATTGGCTGCTAATAATTTCCGAATTAGCCATGAATTTTTCATTTTCTAAAACTTGATTTGTGAACTGAATTTCGCATGGGAAAAAGAAATTTTCCGCACTACGGGAAGTTGAAGGACAGGAATATTTGGAAGTTAGTTTTTCTTCGGCCTGGATATTAGATACACCAGCAGATTTTTCGGGCACTGATCCAGCAGTAACTTCTGGAATATTTTTGCTGGCTTCATCTTCTGATATTTGGTTTATACGTTGAATGTCGGAGAAAATAGATTCCCAAAGCATAGAATTTTCGTCGCGAACGGCAGTCGTTGAGTTAAAATGATTTGGGTTAGACTTCTTTAAAACCTGAGGGCGTAGATCCGCGTCGATATGAATATTGTAGTGTGCCAGTTCCTGCTGACTCATCGCATCCGTCAGGCCATCAGGCATATCAAAATCAACATTACGTGGTAGAGGATCAGAATCATCGAAACAACTGTCAGGATTCTGTAGCCAGTCATCTTGTTGCCCAGGACCTTGAGCTTCTGCCAAAACTGTTCCATTTTGGGTTGCTGCCAGAGAAATATTTTCTGGAAGAAGAAGAAAAGTTGACATCAGGGAGGAATGGGTTTTGATCGGTGAAACCGTGTCTACGCTTCGAGTGGTGTTTGTTAATCCTATAAGCTCCTTTAAACCTATGCATATTTCACACTATTTGCCATGTGCGAAAAACGATCCGCTAAAATTTACAACCATAGCGTAATTCAGTAGGTGCTGTGCAACGATGAAATGAAAAGTTGATGAAAGCAAAGCATCGAAATTTACCATATTTTTTCAATGCTTTTTCGTTCAGTTAATCAACAGCTTTTTCTACTGTTTCTCGTTATCCTTTACATATTGTTGGAAAGCAGATTAATAATTCTCCTTTCCTCTGCTTGCTTCTATTTTCAAATGGCTCTACGTCACACTAATGCTTATTCTGTGTTTTCTCGCGTTTTGGAATGTACGCAAATACAAGCCAGGCTGCAACGCACCAGGCTTGCCAGTGTTTTCTTGCGCTTTTATGCTAAAATTGCAGATCGTTAGCAGCAGGAATGATTCCTGCACTGTAGCCTAATACTTGAACTCACATTGGCTGTGTTTTGGCGCTTTTCGCATATAAGAGGAAAACGCGTCGGTTGAGGTGCCTTCTTCTCTTGCATGCGGAAAGTAAGTTCAAGCATTAGGCTACAGTGTTGCATTGTAGGATCGCATGGACTTCCAGAAGCAAGACTGTCAGTTCTTTGCATGAAGATCAGTCGTTTTTCCGGTGAATGCACGTCTTTTGAAAAAAAACGCAGATTTGAAGGAAGACGAAAGAGGACTATGAGATCTGGAAAATGCACTTGCTTTTGAGACTACGATAAAACTGAGTACTTGTCATGTCCGTGTGTAGGAAGTTTCACCTCTAAGCTGAATTAATAACACACATGAATAGAGAATATCCTTGCAAAGTTTCAGTTTCACGGCTTACCTGATAAGCGATATAGTCATTTCGCTACAATAAGTGTCCTGAGTCGCGCAAATCAAAACATAGTTCGGGTATACGACTTCCCATATGACTGATAAATACTCTGGCGACATTTCAGTTACTGTTGCCTGACTGATTTTCAAGTTAACACAGTTTCAAGTGCGAATTTTGACGTGGCTGTGCGTGCGGTATAAGAATGCGCTATAGCTGAATTTGAAATCTTCCACTTCTATATTCAAACGCGGAAAGTTTCAGCTCTGTGTCATGCCTGGCTCACGAAATCGCTGCTCCCCAATGAAATCTGCATATCTTTTGGTAGTTCGTGCGCGAAATCTAGGCACTTATGAGCGAAGTTATTTAAATGGGATAGTAATACGTGGGGTGGGAATATGACCCCCAAATATCAGCCTCCTAGCTTTACTGGTTGCTGAGTTGAAAGTCGATGGGCGACCTTCCGAAAATATGCGTTTTTGCTCGCTGTCAAAAACGCATAAAATGAAACTCTTTATCCTTAAAAGTGCAGTTGGAAAAAGAGTTTCGGTCTTTGAAGCTGTATACACTTCTTTCTAGCTTTAAATCGAAAGAAAGTAATAATGAAAAATTTTCCAACGTAAAGCAGCTGACAAGCTTTACATTTGGTGATCTGCCGGTGTTTTTTTTTTGTTACATTCTGCAGCGCACATTCTTGTGTTTGCGTTTTAGCCGTCTTTTTATTGTGCCGAATCAAAGTCATTTTGTCGTTGAAATTTTTCTAGAAGCTTAAAATCTCCTTGTTCAGTCACTTATTTACTTGCTTACTTACTTCCTTACCTGCTAACTGCTTACTTTGCTTACATAAACACATAACTGTCTGCTTTCCTAGTTTGTTCGGCAAGCAAAATTATCGTCACTTTCCCAGTCGCCACTTATATATTTTGCAACTCCTCCATCCTTTATTTCGGACTTTTAGAATCCATATAACTGCAAATGATCGTTCGAGTGGATTCTTACGCTCCTCCTCCCCATTTGGAACTTTTTGGTTCTCGAACAAAAAAATTGCTTGCCCAGCAAATTTCTGGTTCTGGAACAAAAAAATTGCTTGCCCAGTAAAACTTTTTCAATTCTCCTTTCAAACATCTATATCTGAGAGGTAGGCGCATTTGCTCGTAGGTTTTTGAAACGGGAGGACCAACATGATGTGGAACATAAGCTTCAGTTTTCTAGCTTCTCCAGTTGCTAAGTTAAATGCAGGTAGCAAGACAGGAACACATACGTCGACACACGAACACCCAGTTAAAACATAAACAATCTCGTGACAATACGCTTTTTCCCATTTGCCATACAAGAAAAACCATCTAAAAGCCTGAAATTTTGGAAACATTATGTTCAGCTGAGACCAAGTATGTTGCTTAGTAATACCGACCGTTCTGGAAGTTTTGGAGAAAAAACGCGCGTGAACTAAACAGATGGTAGGTACCATGTGAAGGCATGCAGCTCTGACTGGATGGCCAGCTGTGGTTGGTGTGTGGGAGCTTCCCGGTTACAGCTAATACGGAACCTCTATGTCGTTTTTCCAGGAGAGTCCTGATGTTCTTGGTATTTATGAGATGAATTGGATAAGAAAAGCCAATCGTAGTTAGTGAAACCAAACAGCATGCGCATTGACACGCTCACCCAACACATTTTTGATGCATGCGTTGTAGCTTTTCTCACCTTTAATGCTGTGCGTACGACGATGCTCTGTAAGCGAAAAATGCGACCAAAAGCATCGAGAGCAGTTCAGGCAGCGGAATAAAGCTAGTTCAGGATTAGTTATCAAATGCTCGAAGTAGTGCTGGTCAAGCTTTCGATAATCACTGAAATTTTTGCCGCATCCGTGCCAGTGGCAGCAGTATTTACCATTTTGATTGTGGCTCTCAAGATGAACGCGGAAACTCACGAACGATTTCATACAACGCGTATTTCCAATAAAACCACACTGACATCTCACAGAATCAAACTGCTCCATCGAGTTTACCTCCTTATGCTCAGTTGCTCTATTACTTGGCCCAGGAATCGAATCGGTGTACAGTCCGAAAACAGCACTTGGTTTCGCTGAGTTCATATGTGATGATTCGGCAGCATACTGACTGCTGATAATTTCCGAAATGGCCATGAATTTTTCATTTTTTAATACTTGATTGGTGGACTGAATTTCGGATGGGAAAAAGAAATTTTCCGCACTACGGGAAGTTGAAGGATAGGAATATTTGGAAGTTAATCTTTCTTCGGCCTGAATATTAGATACACCAGCAGATTTTTCAGGCACTAAGCCAGCAGTAATTTCCGCCGAATATACTTCCGGAACATTTTTGTTGGCTTCATCTTCCGATATTTGGTTTATACGTTGAATGTCAGAAAGAATAGATTCCCAAAGCATAGAATCTTCGTCGCGGACGACAGTCGTTGATTTAAAATGATTTGGGTCAGACCTCTCTGGAACCTGAGGACGTGGATCTTTGTCGATATGAATATTGTAGTATGCCAGTTCCTGCTGACTCATCGCATCCGTCAGGCGATCAGGCACATCGAAATCAATATTACCTGGTAGAGAATCAAAATCATCGAAACAAATGTCAGGATTCTGGAACCAGTCATCTTGTTGCTTAGGACTTTGAGCTTCTGCCGGAACTGTTCCGTTTAGGGTTGCTGCCGGAGAAATATGTTCTGGAAGAAAAAGAACCAAGAGAAACGTCCATGATAGTAAAGTTAGCATCAGGGTGGAATGGGTTTGGAATCGGTGGAACAGTGTCTACGCGTCGAGTGTTGTTTTGTAATCCTATAAGCTCCTTTAAACCTATGCATATTTCATGCTATTTGCCATGTGCGAAAAACAATCCGCTAAAAGTTTACAACCAGAACATAATTCAATAGGGACTGTACAACGATGAAATGAAAAGTTGATGAAAGCGAAGCATCGAAACTTACCATACTTTTTCAATGCTTTTTCGTTCAGTTAATCAACAGCTTTTCCCACTGTTTCTCATTATCCTTTATACGTTGTTTGGACGCAGATTAATAATTCTCCTTCCCTCTGCTCGCTTCTATTTTCAAATAGCTCTGCATCACACTAATGCTTATTCTGTGTTTTTGTGCGTTTTGGAATACATGCAAATACAACCCAGGCTGCAACGCACAGGCTTTCCGGTGTTTTCTTGCGCTTTTATGCTAAAATTGCAGATCGTTAACAGCAGGAACGATTCTTGCGCTGTAGTCTAATACTTGAACTCACATTGGCCGTGTTTTGGCCACTTTCCGCATGCAAGAGGAAAATGCGTCGGTTGGGATGAAAGTATTGCATTATAGGACCGCATGGACTTCCAGGAGCAGGATTATCAGTTCTTTGCATAAGGCCAGTCGTTTTTCCGGTGAATGTTCGCCTTTCGAAAAAAACGCAGATTTGAAGGAAGTCGGAAGTAGACTATGAAATCTGCAAAATGCACTTGCTTTTGAGGCTGCGATAAAATTGGGTATTTGTCATATCTGTGTGTAAGAATTTTCACTTCCAGGCAGAATTAATACCTAAACGTGAACACAGAATATCCTTGCAAGGTTCCAGTTTCGCAGCTTGCCTGATAATCGAAATAGTCATTTCGCTACAAATATGTTTGAAATGTCCTGTGTCGCACAAATCGAAACTTTGTTCGGGTATACGATTTTCCATATGACTGATAAATTCTCTGGCAGTATTTCAGTTATTGTTTTCTGACTGATTTTCAAGTTAACACAGTTTCA